TAAGAACAGGGGAATCGTACTCTCGATTTGCGCCCAGGTGTTGTGCGTGACTGTACTCACGGCAAGATGGCGACTGGCCCTCGAGAGCCTGTTTCGGCTCCCCTGCACAGGATTTCTCTCTCTCTTTCTCCTTTTCTCCTTGTTTTCATCTCGCTCGTTCTTTTCTCTTTCGTCTTTCTCTCTCCTTTCCCCTATCGCGTCTATATTCCCTTCTCTTTCTCCCTCTTTCTCGCACCGATACTTGAAATTTTTTTACCTCCGCGAGAGAAGGGTGGAAATGGAATAAAATGAGAAGGGGGAAGAAAATCTGTATGTGTCGGAGAAGCCGTCGCGGCGCCGTCGTCTGTCTTGTTCCATCGACATCATTTTCACGAGCCGTGTGTTTTTTGCGAACTCCGCATGAACAGATTCATGTTTACTAGGCATTCTCGACGTATATATTGGTTAAAAAAATTCATACCCTTCGATTTAATAGTGTATAATCCACTATTTATTTTCCTTAATCACAGCCTTTCATCTCTTACATGTATTAAAAGTCTGTGCTTTGCATTTTTACGATAAGATTATTGCGTAAATTGAAGACTAACGGATTCCTGATGATAAATCGTTTTCCCGACAGCGGTGTTACTTCTTGATTAATTATAGATTCACCGCGCATCGCATTTCAATATCGAGAAGGATATTTCAATTATGTTGTCTGCCACACATCGATAAAGATTTATAAATTAATACTAAATTCAAGTTCAATGTTCAAACTTATTTTCCGCATCAGGAATTTATTTGAAAAATACAAACATTTTTAAATATTTTATCGAGTTAATTTGTCAAAAATATATCAAGAAAAAGATGAATCTTATTCATATCGCACATTAATAGATGATCAAATAGTTATCTCTCTTTTCAGGATAAATGAAAATATTGGAAAATATAAATAGATTCCATCGCTCTATGAAATATGTAATAAATAAATAAATAAATTACAAATAAAAATCTAGAAAAATAATAAAGGTAGACAATTTTGCGAATAAGCTGCCTCCCATAAAGTAACTGACGTAATCGAGCAAAGTAGCTAATCGCATAATATCGAAGATAACAACGCGAGTGGAAGAAATCGCGATCCGACAGAAGAGAGGGTGATGAAAACGTGTCTACGGAAGCACGACAAACTAACGAGTAAATTATAGGGCGGTCGCGGCTGCCGGGCGGAAGAATCGCTCGCCCTCGCAGATCGGTCCGTCAGATAACTTTCATTAATGCTATACGGGCTGTTTACGAGGCACCGCGATATTGAGTCCATTGTATTGTAGGACAGTCGATCTTTCGGTATCTTCGCCATCGGGAAAACTTTGAGAAAAACTTCATACGTCAAGCATTTTTACACATGAGAAAATGATTTTTCGTTAGTGCAGTATATTTTTATTCTATTTTTTTCTCTTATAATATTTCATTTTTGTGACATTTCTGGCTACCTTTTTACACGTCTTGTATATATTTATACTTTTTATATTAATGAAGAAAAATTTCCTGCCTCAAATAAATAAATATAATAAAAATAAATATATAAATAAATATAAATATTTTGTGCTTTATTATTAATGCATTGTTGGAAATACTTTCTTTTATTAATTGAAATTTTTCGCGAAGAAAATTATCTTTTTTGTCACTTATTATAAAACTCGATCATATATATTTACATCGAAGTAGATAGTAATAGCGACGATGGTTTTGCTGCGACAGTAAAATCCCTCCTCTCCACACATCTCCGAATAATCGATAAATGCGTGAAGCCTATTGGTTCCCGGATCTAATACGCGAAACGAACGAAAAAATACGTATCATTTAGAAGCATTTCTCACGTATAAACTATATATTCTCATCGAATTTCAATGAGCGCGTCCCTCGATGCGCAAAAGAGCGCGCGACAAAAATCCGCTTATATCGCCCTTGCGTCGCGCCCGCGTCTGCACCAAAGCGACACTCATATTTCGCGAAAATATCATCCGACCTAAAGCGATGACAATAACGAAGTGGCAAGTTTCGCTTTCGCGCGAATCATACATTCGCAAAATTTTAAGTGCGCTCGTTCTTGTCTGTTGCAAATTACATTCGTTTGATTTTTCGTAGTTTATAAAAATGAAGAAATAAAAAAGAAATGAACATGATTGAAATATATTTGGAATTTTTAAGACTTCTTGTTATATTCGCTTTTGAAAAAAAAAAAATAGAGAAAGAATTATTTAAAGGGAAGAGGCATTTTTGCGAATTTTCAGATGTAACGGAAATAGAAAAATGCAAAAAGAATTGAATTCTATTGGTTTTTCATCTGATTATTTAATCGTTACGTACACCGAAGGAAACATTCTTTTAAATCAAATAAATTTGTTTTCTTGAAAATTTTGTTTTAAATGGAAAGAATTACTTATTTCTTACTTAAGCAAAGGCACTTAATTTTAATTACATATGCATGTTATATCGAGTACATTATTTTCTTTTTATACACTTTTATATTTAAATACAATTTTTATAAAATACATGCTATAATTTATTAAATTAGATATATTGTTTTTTAAAACTAAAAAACTCCAAATTTTTCTAAGTAAAAAATGCATTTTAATAAGTACTTTGTAAAATTAAAAATTATATTTCAGTTGGTTAAAAATTATATTTTTTTAAACATGTAAATTTTTAACATCTGTAAATAAATACTTATCTTTATCAAACAGACATTTTGAATACAAGTAAATACGATTAGTACTCACCGAATAAATAGCTGTCTTGAATTAAATAAAATTTTTTTATTTCAAGATATTTTTCCCTCAGTGTATTTATTTTGTGCGAATTCAAGACGTGTGAATTTGAAAAATTTAGCGAGAATCGTACGTTTTACCGTCGCCAAATCGAGCGATTCGTTTTTTGATGCTCGCGGTTTTCGTGACAACGCATATAATGCGCGACATTATAATATATTCAAAAAAGAATCCGCGAGTGTATCGCGATGTGTGATCACGGTTTCTTTTGAATAATACCCTTCGAGAGAGAGAGAGGAACAGAACAATTCGTGATTCGATTATGCGTCGAAAGATCCGGGAGACACGGCACGTTTCAAAGTTGCAGCTCCGATATCTCGACGATCGCGACGATCTCTGTTGGAAATGCTCCCGATATATTTTAAGTAAATTTTATTCAAGTACACAACGGAAAATATTCACCAAGAGTATAATATCGATTATTTTAAAACAATAATGTCGAGTAATTTCTTTTATCGTGTACATGCATCCCGTTTATTTTGATAAATGAAAATTCCGGATATGATACAACTTTCGAAAGATGACATAACACGTAAATAATTAATAGTTTATTAATAATTTAAATTATTAATTTAATAGTTTATTTATTGGTTGCATTATTAATTATTTAAATTATTAATTTAATAGTTTATTCATTAGTTAAACGATTTAATATATTTATTATATTATATTATTATATTAAATTAGTATTTTAATATATTTATTGCACGAATATTTTTCATCTACATTTATTTTCAAAAGAAACAAGCTGTTAATATTGTAATATTTCGTAACGCTTAAGTATCAATTATACAGTGTATTTTCAAGATTACTGTCGTGTATTATTTATAGCGCAATTTTTTACATTTTGCTTAAAGTTTCGGATAAATTTTTAATCTCTGACGGAATTTTTGTATATGTTTAAATTTTTTCTACATTTTTATATATATATATTTATTTATCAAAGTACTGCGTTTGCAAAACAGGTGCTCTGTGGAATTTTTGCTAAAGAAATAATAGTTGATAAATTCCAAAATTGTCGAAAGACACACACTTAAATTCTTGTGAAAATATTCATTTAAAGGCACATTTTGCGCACGTGTATAATGTTTCCTGTTATAGACACGCACTTCCTTTGAAATAACGTATACCAGAATATTTCAGGCAAACGACAAACGAAGATAAAAGTGATTTCGAAATATTCTGATGTGCATTATTCCCATAAAAGGGAAGTGGGTCTATAACGCGCATTACGCGTGTACGCAGAATGCCTTCAAAGCGGAGATTCAGATCGCTATCTCGCGTGTATTTTTAACTTGGATTATAGTAAATATTGAATTTCACCGGTGGGTGGAATACAAACTCGCTATTTTACTCGGGCTCTGTAATCCGCGTTAAATTTTTGAGCCACGTGAAACGCGACGTGGACGCGTGATTACGTGCTCAACGGGAGCAATTTTATCGTTCTCGTCGACGACGACGCGCGATCTCCCTCGGAAATCCCAAATGACATAACAAAATAAATGCAAAATCGCTTCGAGTGGCCACTCTCGAAGCGAAATATGATGCGGACGCGAGGATTTATGCGGCTTCCGCGATATTTCTCATTTAAAGCCATTTCGGATCGATCGACGCGACATTTTCGTCGAATATGTCATTGTTTTCAAATCGCCGGGATGGTAGCACAAAGACAGGACAGCAAGACCTCGATGCACCGAATGCACCGAAGGAATAGTGTATTTGACAGCTGATTGTACTACGATCGTCAAAATTTTGGCATATGATTTTTTTCTCTGGTCGAATAACATCCCAGAATCTACGACTCTTCAGCAGATGTAAATTTTATTATTTTCTGTATTATACATCCATATGTTATATATTATAACAGCGCGTTATTTTTTGACAGCTAAAACTTTTCTTGACAGCTCCTTCAATTTAAAGATAAATTTTTACTCCATAATAATTTTGTTAAATACATGTTAAATACAGACTCAAACGTGAATCGTATAAACTATGCAACTTACGCATTTATTAAATAATAATATGCACAATAAGCATTTAATTAATTAATTAATTTGATTGTTAATTAATCTATTAGATGTAATTTATTTTCATATATATTGCATAACTCGCAAAGCTCATATTATAATTCAACGAGCGTTTTATCCTTAATCTACGATACGAAACTTTGGTATATGAAATTTGTGCATTTACCTGGTTTTGGGCGTTTTGCTCGGCCATAGCTTTCTCCTTTGCTTGCCTCTTGCACTTGTACCGGTGATTTTGGAACCATATTTTCACCTGCGAAACAAACAAAAACAATTAAGTCCTCACCGAACGGAGTGATATTAATAGTAATTATATTAAATAAATTATTATCGCACGTTGAAATTTTGCAACAAATAGAAAAATAGAGAATTTTTTAATTATTTTAAATTATCCTTTTAATTAGATAATTAAATAATTAATTAAGATTTACACAATTTCGACAAGATAAATTAACAATATGCATCTACATGATTTCTTTTGTTTCACGATTACTGATGGATAACGAAATCTTATTCTTCAATTATTTACAAATAAATTTTACAATTTTAGAAATTTGTAATTTAAAAAAAAACTTGATATGTATCTAAAATGACTCTTTCATTGGATTTTTGAGAAAAAATTGATATCGTAGATAAATCAAAGAATATTAATGTGAAAGATTTTTTGACCTGTATGATGTCAGTCTTTTTTTAAATAAATATGGAGGGTTACTTGAGACATTTTCAATTAAACATATATCAAATAATTAAACTTTTCCAATTACAAGTTTAATAACGAAGAAGCAAATGCGCGAAGAAACGTGCCTGAAGAAAACACATCCTAGAAAATACACCAGTTCCACAAAGATCAGCGACTTCGAGTCGCTCTTAAGTCGAAATAAAACGAAGGACATGTCTCGTACGCGAACTATATCGCCAGGTAGGGTCCCTGAAATGTTTTCTCAAAGGCAGGCCTTTGTCAGACGCGTACTTTGAACCGGCCTCTAGCTATATTCCAATCCTCTAAGTCCGTAATCCACGGTTAGAAATCCGTCTTATTTTTCTTCGAGAGGGGAATTTAACGCCTCGTTCACTTTATGCGGATACTCTCAATATGCCGTAAAAGAGGGAAGAAAAAAAAGAGATTACAAAGTCTCACAAAAGATTTCTCTATCGAAACTTTTTTGCGCTTTATTACGAATTTTGCAAAACAATCTCGTTGAATTATACTTGCGCTCTTTCCGAGAAAAAAATATTCGCCCTTAATCTTGTCAAATTACAAAAATATTGTATTTTTCAACCATTGCACATACTTGAAAAGTGTCCTAAAATCAATAAATGCCCTCTCGATTATTTTATTTTTTACGACAAATTTAATACTGATTTTTCTTTAAAATTCTAGCAATCTTTATACGAATTACTTGCTTACGCTTTTTTTTGGCTATTTAAAATAAAATATAAATAACCTACATATTTGCATAAATTTATTCTCCTAAAATATAAGAAATTTTTAATCTTTCGAACCGACATATGCGTGCATTCAACGAAAACTATTAAAAATTGAATCATAGTTATAAGATATATAATATGGCTCGTTGTTTTCGTGGCCGGACCACAATGCGAATGCGATTAGACCGCCTCTGTGAACCGTGTATAATGCATATAGCGCGGATTATAACGCGCCTCTGTCATAAGCAGATGTCGATCCCGATTTCGTTCAGGCGGCTGCGCTCGCTTAGCTCAATTGCCGTAAAAGCAGCCCTGAGCGACCCTAATCGCACGCGACTGCTCCTAGCTGATCTGCCTTCCCTTTTCTCCCGTGTGTTCTAAATTGACTAAACTAAATAGGGATTCCGCGATTAATTTTTGTCAATTGATTAGAATTGAGAGAAAAAAATTAAACCGCATTTCTTAGGAAATAATTTCTTAGAAAATTATTTTTTAATTATACACCATTTCTTATATTTTATATATATCGTTTATATTTTATTTATATTTACAGCATTTCTTAAGAAATAATTTCTTAGAAAATTATTTTTTAATTATACACCATTTTTCATATTTTATGTATATTTTCTTTTGTAAAAATACATGCATTAAAAATCCATACAAGCAATGGACGTCGCATATAAATTCAAAATATATTAAATATGATAAATCCGAAGCTTATATATGCTTTGAGAATCTCGAATCTCTCTCCCTCTCTTTCTCTTGTTGATTGATTATTTTGTGAGGTATTTAAGGCTCGTTTTCACATCTTAAAATTCGTTAGATGCCAGGATCCGTGATCGATGCGATAGAAAACTCGGCTACGCGCGTGTCGTTTTGATTTTTATCGGTGCCGGTCCGTGAAGCGCATATGTTACCGCGTGTAACCTCGTCGAGTGGCTGTTGTTATGCTGGCGAATTTCGTTCCGTGAAGCCGCGCAACCCCCATTATATCCGAGTTGCGTGTGTCGGGAATGCAATGAAAGCACTTTAAGGGGTCCGTCCGGCCGATCGCGTCTCGAGAACCCGCCGCCGTCTGTCTAATTCTTTGAATATTAGCGGGATCGACTCCACCCTCGAAAATTCCTTTTTACCCCTCTCGGGTCTGTCGGTTCCCGAGCGTGGTTGGAATACCAGTGGTCGTGAATGACCCGGGAACAATTGTCCTTCTCTACTATTCTATTATTTCATCCGCGTCTTCAAATTCGCACTGCATTTTGCGTCATTAGATCTAACTTTGTAACACACAATTATAACTTGTAAAGATGTTCATAATTAATACCCATATTTAGTTAGCAAAGTAACTAATTCTATAGAAAAATGTATGGAGACTATAAAAAATTTTTTCTAATGACACGAGAAAATTAATACTTTAATTTTGATTGTTAAATTTAATTTATGTACAATATTATATCTGTGAGAAATCCTCAATGTATTACACTTTGTGTTGTTTCCATCATTAATTTCCGATCGTCACATATCAATTCCAACAATTTGCACTGCAGAGATCCAAAGAAAGGCCCAAAACGTCTATTAACTTACAATAAAAAATATTTTAATATTTTATTTTTTAATAATTTACAATAAAAAGTATTTTTTATGCACAAATTATCGCGCGTTACTCTCATAGCCTATTATTGGAGTTTTTAGTTTGACACTTCAGAGTCTTATATTAGATTAATAAATATTGAACAAGTAATGATTTATCAAAGCTCTCTAGCCTCTATTTTAATTTATATGACAGAAACAAAATAATATCAATTCGATAATGATATTAATAAAGAATATAAATAAAGATACAGTATCTATTTAAGAAAAATTAATTTAATATATTTTATAAATAATTCCAATCATTTCTTGGCAAATTGTCATTATTTTATATTATTTTTTAAACAGAAGGTATATCTTATGGATTTTATAATTATGCAAATAATTTGTTCTGTTACTTTTATGTATATTAAAACCTTAGCGTAGCTCATAATTTATGTATGTGTTTTATTTACTCAAAATGATTGAGAATAACTTCTCTGGAATTATCGACAAAAATAAATTATGCAAATTTATCTCATCTTGAGCAACATTAACGCGAAAGAAACCAGCGTTTTCATGGCTCTTCCCGCCATTCGTGCGTGAGTTTTTATGCGCGCTTTGTGGGACGACCGGTTTCGCGTAGGGGTGAGAGGTCTTATTTAAAAGCCGCGAAAGAGGTACTAGACGAGGAAAGTACTCTTTCGCTGCTCCCGTTCGTTAATTCCTTTTCTACCGATAATCCACTCGAGGCCCGTCGAGTTTTCGGCTACGCCGAGTTACGCCGCGCCTCGACTTGGAGAGATCTACAAACAGTCATTTACTTCTGCTTCGCGAGCTCACATGCGGGATGTATGACGCAGGAATTGTGTGACGTAGATCTTCTAGATCCGCGCTTACGCGGGATTTTAATCCCTTCTCGTATAAATTGATCTCCTTTCGCGATTCTTTTTTCCGCTCAAATGTTCGAAGTTTCAGCGCGAGATGCTCGAAAGAGACGCGTCGAACGGAACAGCTGATCCGGCATTTCTAGCATGTCGGGTCTTCAGGTGTGTAAGCAAACATTGTTATGACTTTTTTGTAACGTGAAGAGGGTTTTATTTATTTCATCTATAATATTAGATGAATGATATAGTTTTTAAATATTGATGAGATTATGAAACATTGTGAATCACTATATCGTTGATTGATTCTTCCGATAAGGTTTGATATAATTGTGATCATTATACAATCATGACTTTTTCACTGGTTTTCGATAATACACTAATTCTATTTAAGAGAATATATGAAGTATTAAAAGAGGAATTTTTCCGGGTCTGTCCATTTTCTATGGAATAAATATAATATGTGTTGATATATCTGAATTTTTTATGTTCGTATCAAACTTATCATTTTCTTAAAACATTTTTATATCATACCAACCAGTTATATTCTTGAGATATTTTCTATAATTTTCTCTCTATTTTTCTAAAATAATATTTTAAAAATTTTATTTCTGTTTTTATATTTATTTTATAATTAGTTTATATTTTATAATTAATTATAATTGGTTTGATCAGTGATTTAGTCACTGATTTTCAATAATAACACTGATTCTCGCTTCAAGAGAGAAGAATAAGTAAGAGGTTTCCTGATTTATACATTTTTCATGTAATAAATGTAATACATTATAATATGTATTATACAAAATTTTTGTGTCAAACTGATCATTTTTAAAATTTATTATAGTTTCATATATTATATCAGCAAATTACATTCTTGAAATACTTTTTGAAATTTTCTCTCCTTCTTTCTATTTCTTCTGAAAACAAAATTTCTAAAAATTTTTATCTCTATTTTTACATTTTATAATTACTGACAGTTAACAATGTGTGGCTGATCAAGATGAAATCTTACTGTCGTAATCAGTGAAACGTAGGAAAGCACAAGTGTGAGCGATCACTAATCTTCGCTGAAATTTTTCACTAATCAATGACAGTTTCACTGATTTAATTTGAGAGAGTCAGTTCTTGATGCGAACACGTCGCACATTTTCAGCAATAATCAGCAATAATTTAATCGTGTAAGATACATTACACGTACATACTTTGTTGTACGTATGAACTTGCGTTAGGTAGATCCAGACTCTACATGTGCGTTCGTGAAAGATTCGAAACGATCGAAAGCGGCGAGCGAATTGTTATTTCAAGGGAACTGCCGTCCGTCAGTCCGTTTGTCCATCGCTCCCGCCGCGATGCGGTGTGTAAACAGGGAAAGTTA